CAGGGGATGGGGAGGAAGGGGTGGGGGGGCGTGGGGTTGGGAAGAGGGGAGACCAGGGCTCCCTCCTTGAGCAAAACCGTTACTAGTCCAAGTTCAGACTACCTCCCCAAAAGGATGGGGTGTGGGCCAAGGTGCGTAGGCCCCCCCCTCCACCTTCCCAGGGGCAGGGGATGGGGAGGAAGGGGTGGGGGGGGGTGGGGTTGGGAAGAGGGGAGACCAGGGCTCCCTCCTTGAGCAAAACCGTTACTAGTCCAAGTTCAGACTACCTCCCCAAAAGGATGGGGTGTGGGCCAAGGTGCGTAGGCCCCCCCCTCCACCTTCCCGGCAGAGTGCCATCCTAAACTGAGCCATGCCCTTCAAGCCCCATTGGTTTCAGTGGGCTTAGAGGGGGTTAACTCCGCTTCAGCCCTGGTCTGCATGGTCCTGCCTCATCAGGTCTGGGAAGCGATGCCGGGTCGGCCCTGGTCAGTACTTGGATGGGAGGCCACCAAGGAAGTCCGGGGTGGCTACGCAGAGGCAGGCCATGGTGAACCGCCTCTGAACATCTCGTGCCTCGCAGACCCCACGGGCGTCACCAGCTACAACTGAATGGTACTTTCTAGCACCATTTCCGCGTAATATGGCTCTGGAGGCCATCTCAGCTCTCAGGGGCTGTCCAGGGGCATCCCGTTCTCTGTCCTTTAGTGATTTGATAAGTGAACGCTATAGGGTAATTATTTTTGTGCCAGGATTTCAGGTCCCTCTGATGGCTGAGGATTTGGAATGGCGGGGCGAGGTGCACGTCCAAAGTAAGGCATGTGTTTGTAGACAGCTCAGTGACTCCAGAGGATAGGTTTGCCATGGGGGGGGGGGAATGCATCAGTTGCCCCGTATGCGGAGAAGCGAGGGACTGGCACTGAGCCTCTGAATCACAGAGCCAGGAGGCAACATGAGGGGAAGGCCTCGGCCTCTATGGCGTGTTGTTGGCCGTGCAGAGAAGCTGGTTGGCCACTGTGTGAGACAGGATGCTGGACTAGATGGACCTCTGGTCTGATCCAGCAGGGCTCTTCTGAGGTTCTTATGAGGGGAAGGCCTCGGCTTCTATGCCCCGTTGTTGGCTCTCCAGAGGAGCTGGTTGGCCCCTGTGTGAGACAGGGTGCTGGACTAGATGGACCACTGGTCTGATCTAGCAGGGCCCTTCTGATGTTCTTATGAAGGCCTTGGTCTCTATGCCCTGTTGTTGGCCCTCCAGAGGAACTGGTTGGCCACTGTGTGAGACAGGATGCTGGACGAGATGGATTATTGGTATGGTCTAGCAGGGTTCTTCTTAGGTTCTTATGAAGGCCTTGGTCTCTATGCCCTGTTGTTGGCCCTCCAGAGGGTTGGCCACTGTGTGAGACAGGATGCTGGACGAGATGGACTATTGGTATGGTCTAGCAGGGTTCTTATGTTCTTATGAAGGCCTCGGCCTCTATGCCCCGTTATTGGTCCTCCAGAGGAACTGGTTGGCCCCTGTGTGAGACAGAATGCCGGACTAGATGGACCACTGGTCTGATCCAGCGGGGCTCTTCTGGTGGTCTTATTGGGAAGGGTCTGGACCTCACGTCCCCCCCCTCTCCGACATTCCTCTTCTCCCAGGAGACAGCAGCAAGGTGACCACCGTGGTGGCCACGCCCGGCCAGGGCCCCGATCGCCCCCAAGAAGTCTCCTACTCCGACATCAGGGTCATCGGCAACGGGTCATTTGGGGTCGTCTACCAGGCCCGGCTGGCGGACTCTGGAGAGCTGGTGGCGATCAAGAAGGTGTTGCAAGATAAGCGGTTCAAGGTGAGTTGTCGATTGCCTGTATGCGTTGCTCCCGTCTCTCCTTTTCACACGTTTGCCGCTGAGCTTGTGCAACTGACTCCGGTCTTTTCTTGTCTGGACCCCTCTCAGAACCGGGAGCTCCAGATCATGCGGAAGCTGGATCACTGCAACATCGTTCGCCTGCGGTATTTCTTCTACTCGAGCGACCTGAAAGGTTGGCGGGGGGGGGGGCAAAGGGCTTGCTGTGCGTGCTATGCAAAAAGAAGGAATAGCTGTCCCCTTCCCTGCAGGGGTTCCTACAGTGGATCACTTCCCCCAAATAAGTCAGCTGCCCTTTTAACCACTCTTGTTTCCACAATCGGGGTGTATTTCTCCCACGCCGACACCTTTTCGAATCGGAGGAAGCGGTCATTTCTGTCGGGATATTGGCAACCGTGATTGGGAAGCAGGGTAGTGTGGGTTAATTAACACCGAGTGTAAGGAAGGACGCAGTCTTGCCTGTGGGCTAAAACAGTAACAAGAGCGGCGTCTCCTGCCCTGAAGGCCACACCGGGGAAAACTGTTTGTGGCTGATTTGTATCAGTTCACTGCAAGTTGTTCATACGATTTGCTCAGTGAAGGCCAAACGGGAACCGCTGGACTTCTGCTCGTTATTCCACTGTGCTTCTTTCCAGAAAAAAAAAAGGAAAAGGAAAAAAATAACTTTCCAGGCCTTGAGAAACTTATCTCTTGTGTACGTGGACTCGGAGTAATGAGACAAGAACAGTGGGTTCCTTTGGGGTGAACCTTTACTACTACTTAAACCCAGGCCTTAGGGGCTAATTACAGTAATGAATTGAGACTCCTTTTAATTGATCCTCCTCGTTTCCAGCCCTTTGGCATTTTGTGTGTGTGTGTGTGAGAGAGCCCGATGTAAGGCACGGTTCGTCAGAGGTCAGCTGCTGGGTGCGCTCCCTTCCCCTCCCCTGTAGCTCATCCCCGGAGATACTGGTCGTGGTAGTGGGCAGAAAACCTTTTTGAGTACGAGCCCTTTCCGTTTGCTGCAACGTAAGCGCCCTGACCCCGGATAGCCCAGGCTTGTTAGATCTTGTTAGATCTCGGAAACGAAGCAGAGTCGGCCCTGGTTAGAACTCGGGTGGGAGACTCACCGGGGAAGTCCAGGTTCGCCACGCAGAGACAGGCGATGGCAAACCGCCTCTGAAGTCTCTTGCCTTGAAAACGCCATGAGGGGTTGCCGCAACTTGACGGCACTTCCCACCACCACAGCACAAGCACAACTTGCCTGTGCAGACCGTGGATTTCAGCTGCATTTCCAGATGGGTGAGGGCTCTTTTTGTAGCAGGTACTCCTTTGCATATTAAGCAACACACCCCTAATGTAGCCAATCCTCCAAGAGCTTACAGTAGCTCCTGTAAGAAGAGCTCTGTAAGCTCTTGGAGGATTGGCTACATTAGGGAGGTGTGGCCTAATATGCAAAGGAGTTCCTGCTAAATCAGACAGAGCTCCTTTGCATATTAGGCCACACACCCCTAGTGTAGCCAATTCTCCAAGAGCTTACAGTAGCCCCAGTAAGAAGAGCTCCGTAAGCTCTTGGAGGATTGGCTACACTAGGGGTGTGTGGCCTAATATGCAAAGGAGCTCCTGCTACCAGTAGAGCCCCAAGAATATTGGTGGGGAGGGGAAGCACCTTTTGTTTGAGAAGCCAAGCATTCATTGTTTTGTGTTCTAATAATAAGGGGCGGGGTGGGGTCTGTCTTCCTGGGTCGATCCAGAACAGTGGTTAAATGGAAGCTGGACGTGTAAGTAAAGGTAGCCCCCCTGGGTAGCAAGAAGAGTTCTGCATCCCTCTGTGTTGTCCAGTGTTGTTCTGTCTGGCGGAATTGGCCGGAGGGGTTCCACCTCACCTCCTCCTCTTCTCCCCCATCCTATTGCAGAAGGACGAGGTTTATCTTAATCTAGTCCTGGACTACGTGCCCGAGACGGTCTACCGAGTGGCCCGCCACTTCACCAAAGCCAAACAGACCATCCCCGTCATCTACGTGAAGGTAGGAACCGACCCCGGGCTTGGAACCGGTGCTCCCTGTAAGCTGAGTTAGTGTGAGGCTAGCTCACAGTTTTTTAGCCTCCGGCTCACACATTTTTGTCTCGGCTCAGGAAGGATGGCTCCAGAGCAAACTAATTTATGCAGTAGCCAAATCACCTCCTCACCACTTTAATGCCAGTAGCTCAGAAAGTAGAATTTTTGCTCACAGGACTCCGCAGCTTAGAGGGAGTGTTGCTTGGAACCCGCCGCGGTCAGGGTAAAGCAGCCCTCGTTGCACCTCCGCATTAAGGGTCAGAGCAGGATGGCGATAGCGGCTTTCGGTGGCCTTTGTCGTCTGGCAGGAAAAGAGCCTCCATCCCCAAATACTGATAGCCAGGTGATTTCTTGCCTGTGTTGGGTTCGGAACACATTCCCTTTGCTCCTTGCACCGTAATCTGGGACTGAGCTCTGGCACGGTGGAAGAGCACGGGGTTTGTATGCGGTAGGCCCTGGGTTTGAATCCAGCGGGCTTTGAGGAAGCCGGTGCTTCTCGCCCTGGAGCACCACTGCCAGTGGTCTGATTTGGTATGACGCCACTTCATATGTTCTCTGTGCGTGCATTTGTTTCTTTTTTTACTTTTCTTGGAACAGACGACAAAGTTTTGCAATCTGTGCGAACTATGCAAATTAAAAATGTTGCTTAATTTCTTATTCGGACGATTCTCCCGGTTTTGTGCAATTTAGTCTCGCTGCGCTAGTTATATAGGGAAGGGCAAGGAGATTACGAAGAGAAACCGAAGCTCTATCCAGGCATCTCCCTGCTTTCTCAGGGCTGAGCAGTTGTTGGCCCTTGCGTGCATTCAAGCATATTTTTCAGGAGATGGGGTCTAGAAACTTGGATTAAAAAAAAAAAATAACTAGTGTGTCAGTGAAGATTTTCAGGAAGCTATATTTTGTGCCCTTGATCCCTTGTCCTGCCCTCAGTGTGGAATCACCGTGTTTGTGTAATTCTGGATATACTGCTGTAAAATTCCTGGATCATGCTACAGGTGGGCAGGTCCAGAGAACTGTGCAGGCCTGCTTCATCTGGCCAGAAATTTGCGGATCAGGTCCCTTTCGTGTGCTTCTTTGGTTTTCATTCTACATGACATCCAGTCTGAGGAACTCTTCGCAGATTGCACAACTAGGGAATGTTATCCATAATGTCACTTAAAATATATATATGTGTGTGTGTGTGTGTGTGTGTGTGTGTGTGTGTGTGTGTACCCTGTTTCCCCGAAAGTAAGACATCCCCCGAAAATAAGACCTACTTACAGTTTTGCCTCTCGCTGAAATATAAGACTTCCCCCGAAAATAAGACCTCCCCAATAATAAGGCCTCCCCCGAACATAAGGCCTCCCCGATAATAAGCCCCCCCCCCCCCCAACCACCCGGAACCTTGGCCCGCGGGCGCGGGGGCGAACTCTGGGCCGCAGCTGCGGGCGCCGCCGCGTAGCCAGAGCAGACAGGAAGTGTGACGTCTCTTTTAATCAGAGAGCCCACACCGCTGCCAGGACAACCTGCCGCCTGCTGCTCGCTCTGCCCTGACGGAGTGTACCGTATTCTTCTTCATGGAAAAATAAGACATCCCCCGAAAATAAGACCTAGCGCATCTTTGGGAGCAAAAATTAATATAAGACACTGTCTTATTTTGGGGGAAACAGGGTGTGTGTTTGTGTGTGTGTGTGTGTATAACAGTCTTGTTATAGGAATGGTTTTTCCTGTGAATGACCACTGTCTCCCACTCATCTTACGCTTTGCTGTGTGTCTCGAAGGAACAAGAACCCCCTGTGTGTGCACATGTATAATGCAATGCTCCCTCTAAGCTGCGGAGTCTTGTGAGCAAAAAATCCCACTTTGTGACCCACTGGCATTAAAGTTGTGAGCGAGCGATTGGGCTGCTTTATCAATCAGTTTGCTCCGGAGCCCTCCTTCCCGAGCTAGGACAAAAGTGTGTGAGCTGGAGGCTAGAAAATGGTGAGCTAGCTCGCACTGACTCAGCTTAGAGGGACCGCTTGTGTAAGGCGGCTGTATCTGATGAGCCTGCTCTTTTCTCATCAGTGGGAATGTCGTTACAAGCGCCAGGTTTTTCAGCGCTAATTGGAATCCCCGTTTTGTACGATCAGGCTGATACTCTGCCCCGTCTCAGGCATCCGGCACTGTTAGTTTAAAGTGAAAGATCTCAATCGGAAAGGAGCGGTTTGTCGGGGGAAAGGAGGGCAGACCACGAAAATCCAGATTTTCAGTACCGCATATATTTTGTGAGCTGGAAAACATAACATACCCACGAGGGCTGGTTCCTTAACATCCACTCGAGTTTCTCCCATTCTTGTTTCAACAGGCACGTTTCACGTTCTTGTTATCTTAAAAGCTCGTTCGTGGCGATAGGGCCTGTAGGATTGCGAGGCACCCGTTTCCTTATCTCCAGCTTCCTGCGTGGGTTTCAGTAGACAAGCCGGGGTTTTAGTGTCAAAAGCAAATCCCTTTTTGCACACAGCCGTGTCATCCTTTTGCTTTTTAAAGCCACAAAACCTGCCTGTCTTTTTCTCCCCCCCACGACCAGGTGTACATGTACCAGCTCTTCCGCAGTCTCGCTTACATCCATTCCCAAGGCGTCTGTCACCGGGACATCAAACCCCAAAACCTGCTTGTGGACCCCGACACGGCAGTACTGAAGCTGTGTGACTTTGGCAGGTGAGATCGGCACGGAAGGGTCCACTTCCCTCCTGCAGTGCAGGCTTTGTGCAGTGGATTTCGGTCCTCATTCTTCCGAATAGATTTCACACACCAGCTTGGCTCTGTGAACAGGGAGATTGGTTTCACGTGTCTCTGTGCAGTTCCGCTGCCCCCAACCTTATACCCCTCAGTCATGTTTCCTGCTTTTTCCGCATGGCCCCACCAACTCCTGAGGCTTCTTCAATCCATCCAGTGTTGCACTTTCTTCACGATAGCCACTCGCAGTGATAGTCAGTGTTCTTGACTGGCCCTTCCCCCTCGGCAGCGCGATTGGCTGAACATTCCATGATGTCGTCTCAGTGCAGCCAGAGCGATGGCGGAACATTCCATGATGTCATGTCAGTGCAGCCAGAGAGATGGATAAAAACACCATCTTCGCCTGCCCTCTTACACAGGAAAATAAAGCTGTATCTTTCATCAGCGAATGTTACCGTCGATTAAGCATCGCTTCTCCAATTAATCGTCGAGACACTCCTTTTAAAAGGCTGGCTTTGATTCTGACATATTGGGGCTGATAAGGGGTAGAGAGTAATAGTGTCCCAGTTTGGTGTAGTGGTTAAGTGCGCGGACTATAACCCACTCCTCCACTTGCACCTGCTGGATGACCTTGGGCAAGTCATAGTTCTGTCAGAGCTGTTCTTGAAAAAGAGCCGTTTCTGTCAGAGCTCTCTCAGCCCCACCGACCTCACAGGGTGTCTGTTGTGAGGAGGGGAAGAGAAAGGAGTTTGTAAGCCGCTCTGAGACTCCTTTGGGTAGTGAAGGGCGGGGTATAAATCCAATCTTTTCTTCTTCTTCCAACAAGGGTGGTTGCTTTTGCAGGTAACTATTCTGAAATATATGTGGATTATAAAATGTATTGTGCTTCTTTTGATGTCTCAAGGGGGGGAAAAAACCCCTGTATGTTGACAAACCCCCAGAGTGGATTTACATTAAGATGAATTGGACGACTGAGAAATTTCAAAGGCAGATCAGCTTTAGGTCCTGCAGTTGATGGACAGCCCTATTTAAATCTGAAGCATTATATATAGGTCTGTGTGTGATCTGTGTTCTAAAAAAAAAAGAAGAAGGGACTGCTGTGCCAGCACAGACAAGCTTTGCTGTTAAAGAAACGTGCACGAATAAAGGCCAGCTTGGTTGCAGCTTCTCACGTTTTGCTGCTCGGCTCACCCCTCTGATTTCGTTTCAGAGGGTCACCGCCTTGGTCTGCAGAGCAGCTGGATTCGAATCCAGTAGCCACTTAGAGACTAACGATAGTTTCAGGGGTGTAAGCTTTCGAGAGCCAAAGCTCCCTTTTTCAGACATGGCAGAGTAGAAGTGGAGATCTGAGTCACAGAATCATAGAATCAAAGAGTTGGAAGGGACCTCCAGGGTCATCTAGTCCAACCCCCTGTACAATGCAGGAAATTCAGAAACCCACACCCCCAGTGACCCCTGCTCTGTACCCAGAAGATGACCAAAAAACCCTCCAGGATCCCGGGCCAAACTGGCCTGGAGAAAAATGGATTCCTGACTCCCAGAGTGGTGATCGGCATTTCCCTGGGCATGTCAGAAAGGGCCACGAGAACTGAGGCCACCCTTCCTGCCCTCCCTTCTCACGATCTGCCTGAGTCCACAGAATCAGCATTGCTGTCAGATGGCCATCTAGCCTCTGCTTAGAAACCTCCAAAGAAGGAGAGCCCGCCACCTCCCAGGGAAGCCTGTTCCCCCGAGGAACCGCTCTTAACTGAGGGGAAGTTCTTCCTCATGTTTAGTCCTTTTATCCTGGTCAGAAGGAAGGGAGGGGTTTTGTACAAGAGTGCTCATAAAGGACACAAAGGTACAGTGTCTATTGTAATCAGCCTGATTGGAGCGCTTGGAATTATTTTGCTTCCTTTAGCCATGGCAAGGGGCGAATCCCCCTCCCCATACTACTGGCACCCTGATGCAGATAATTGCTGATATTTCGCTATGTGGTCTAAGGCCTGCCTACCTGAGGGACCGCCTTTCCCCACGTTCCCCAGAGAGCACTGAAGTTGGGGGTCTCAAAACCGCTTGACCCTCCCTGGACCGAAAGATGCCAGACTGGCCTCTGCCAGGGCCTTCTCAGTGACGGCTCCACACTGGTGGAATGAGCTCCCAGAAGACATCAGGGCCCTGCGGGACCTATTACAGTTCCACCAGGCCTTCGATTAGGAAGCCGCTACTAATAACTGAATTGTTAAGGCCCTCTATGTGGAGCTGCGGTGGCTCAAGTGGTTAAGATGCTGAACTGCAGGCTGTGGAAGGTCAGTAGTTCAGCAGTTCAAGACCCAGGGGTGCCGCATGACGGAGTGAGCTCCCCTGTCTAGTTCCAGCTCCTGCCAACCTAGCAGTTCGAAAGCAAGAAATTGCAAGTAGATAAATAGGTACCACTTCGGTGGGACGGTCACAGCGTTCCGTGCGCCTTGGTGTTTAGTCATGCCGGCCACATGACCACGGAAACGTCTTCGGACAGCGCTGGCTCTTCGGCTTTGAAACGGAAATGAGCACCGCAACCCTAGAGTCGGACTCGACTGGCTTTCGAGCAAGGGAACCTTTACCTATGTCAACAACAACATCAACAGCTAGGGATATTCTGGACACCGATTTGGGCCGTACTTTTGTTACCATCTGAACACGGCCTAGTGGGGTGTTGCCGCCATCAGCCCTTACCCTGTATTTCTGATTTGTTACGTTTATGCGTTTTTATATGATGTTGCATTGTGTCAATGCCATCGGTGTTTTAAGGTTTTAACTTTTTAACATAAGCGGGCCCGAGCCTGTCTCGACGGGGAGGGAGAGATACAAACCGAATTAAATAAATAAAATAAACCTTGATAAGAAGAATCCATACGAGGGAGTCTCTTAAAAGAAAGATGAGAGGGATTCTGTGGCAGATGCCAAGTCCTGCAGCTTTCCTCCTCTCCCGTGGAATATATATTTTTTTATTTGTATTTTTTATTTGAAAGAACGTGCAACAATACAGAAAATACTGTATAAGAACATTTTTTACATTTTAGTTGAAATAGAGCAACAAATATTTTGCAATAAACAATGATACCGTATGTACCTAGGAAGAAAGAAACAGGTGAACAAAGAGAGCTGTAAGGTTCTGTAAATTTGTAAACAGGAGTGAATACACCTTAAGAACAGTGGGATGCCTGCAATAGTACGTAGGATATATGTTCCAATTAATAGGTCAGGCAAAAAAATAAAGGTTATAAATGCTAAATAGACCTAACTCTGTGTGTACCGGTATGAAATATGTAGGTAAACCCGAGATACAATAAGGAGCAATAAATAGTAAAAGTAAGGATCACCATCTCAAATCAGAGGAGGAGGATATTTATTGACAAAGACATACCAACCTCATGACCACTGCTGCAGCTGAGACCATCCAGAGGGTATGAATCCACTCCATGTTAGATATTCTCCGTGGAATATTTTTATGCAAAGGTCCCCCGTCCCCCCCACATGGTGCATAAAACACCCCAGGGCACGTTTTCTCACGCGTTCGTCAGATGGTTCTCCGCCAATCACCCTGAAACGACCAGGTCCCCTCCCATCTCCGCAGGTGCCCTTACCGTTCTCTTCTGTTTCCTGTTTCAGCGCAAAGCAGCTGGTCCGGGGAGAGCCCAACGTCTCCTACATCTGTTCTCGCTACTACCGTGCCCCGGAGCTCATCTTTGGAGCCACGGATTACACCTCCAACATAGGTGAGGGACGTCCTTCCGCTGCAGCGTCTCCCGTTCCTCCCATCCGCGCGCACACCCTTCGGTTAAAGGAGTTCTCGTCGACTGGGATGAGCCGCGGTGGCTCAGAGGTTAAGACCAGTGCTCGCACACAGTTTTTTTAGCCTCCGGCTCATACAATTTTTTTTGTTTTCGCTCAGGAAGGATGGCTCCAGAGCAGGCTAATTTATGCAGTAGTCAAATCACTTGCTCACCACTTTAATGCCAGTAACTCACAAAAATAGAATTTTCGTTCTCAAGACTCCACGGCTTAAAGGGAGCATTGGTTAAGACGCTGAGCTGCAGACCGCAAGGTCGGTAGTTCAGCAGTTCGAGACCCGAGTGTGCTGCGTGACGGAATGAGCTCCCGTCTCTGGTCCCAGCTTCGTGCCAACCTAGCAGTTTGAAAGCAAGAAATTGCAGGTAGATAATTAGGTACCACTTCCGTGTGCCTCAGCGTTTAGTCATGCCGGCCACATGACCACAGAAACGTCTTCGGACAGCGCTGGCTCTTTGACTTGGAAACAGATGAGTACCGCTCCCTAGAGTCGGATTAGACTGGCTTTCGAGCAAGGGAAACCTTTACCTTTACTTTGACTGGGATAAACTAATGGAACCCGTTTGCTGACCGTAAAAAAAACAACTTTATGCATACACTGTATTGGAATTCAGAGGCAGCTGTTCAACACGCTATCTAGTGAGATACAGCCCCTAGATATTTCCATGCCATAAAACCTGTGCTTGCCGTCGAGTAGTGGAACTTGGCAGTCGACAAACGTGTTTTGTGACAACAAAAAAGGGGGGGGGGTCATGGTGGAATTACAGAACTGTAGGAAACACCATGTATAAACATACAATATACACAAATAATGCTTAATAATATATATTGTGTGTAATGTATTAAATAAGTATAATCATATTATAGGTATCTACATTCATATATAGGGGCTGCAGTGGCTCAGAGGTTAAGACACCAAGCTGCAGACCAGAAGGTCAGCAGTTCGAGACCCGAGTGTGCCGCATGACGGAGTGAGCTCCCCTCTCTGGTTCCAGCTCCTGCCAACCTAGCAGCTCGAAAGCAAGAAATTGCAAGTAGATAAATAGGTACCGCTTCGGTGGGAAGGTAACAGCGTTCCGTGCACCTTGGCGTTTAGTCATGCCGGCGACATGACCACGGAAACGTCTTCGGACCGCGCTGGCTCTTCAGCTTTGAAACGGAGATGAGCACCGCCCCCTAGAGTCGGATTCGACTGGCTTTCGAGCAAGGGAACCTTTACCTTACATTCATATATAGGCAATCAGAGGCATAATCAAAGTAAAAAGGAATATTAGGGGAACAGTCCAGATATTCTCCAGTCTAAATAGCTAGTTTCTGTGCAACATAATCCAAAAGTACTATTTTATCTTGGAGCTTGCTGTTAATAGACGAAGCGATTCAGCAGTCCCACCACTGTAGGACAAATAATCCTGACACTGCCAGATAAGCGATCCGACGACTTCCCAGGCGATGAGTCGTTTCCAGCCTCCTTTCTCAAGAATCGCTCGATTATATTGTGTGCATCATTCAATGGAACCCAATCTCCATTCTCTTAGCCCAACATTCTCACTTTTCCCAAGGGATTAAGGTTGCAGGTGTAATCTAGGGTTGCCAGCTTGGTTGGGAAATTCCCAGAGATTTGGGGATGGAGCCCGAGTAAGACGGGGTTTGGGGGGCAGAGGGAGTTACAGCAGGGGGTTACACCATAGAGTCCACCCCCCAAAGCAGGGCTGGAGATTAACTGTAATCATCAATGCTCCCTCTAAACGGAGTCTTGTGAGCAAAAATTCTACTTTGTGAGCTACTGGCATTAAAATTGTGAGCGAGCAATTTGGCTACTGCATAAATCAGTTTGCTCTGGAGCCGTCCTTCCTGAGCTAAGTCAAAAATCTGTGAGCCGGAGGCTAAAGAACGGTGAGCTAGCTCGCCCTAACTCATCTTAGAGGGGACACTGGCTGTAATTCCAGGAGATCTCCGGGGCCCATCTGAAGGATCACAAATAAAGGGGGGAGACGACCCTCAGTGTATAAAAGATGAAAACGAGAGAAAATCACCGAGCAGAGGGGTAGTTGTCTAGCCGTCCAGCAGCGTTATTAAAGCCAGCAGTGTAGATTTAACAGTATGTGCATTATGATCATAAATTCATTCGACGCTAATCCTAGTTTCATATCGACAAATTTAGAGTCCTGTGGGGCACCTTTAAGGCCAACAAAGGTTTATTCAAAGGGTGAGCTTCCGTGTGCAAGGCACACTTTTATCAAATAAAGCAGAATGGCGGGGTGATGATGATCAAGATATGCAAAGTGACACTAAATGACAAGTGAAGGTTATAAGGTCAACAGTCGTGAAGCAATAAAGATGTCAAACCAGCAGAGAAATGTCTAAAGGTGTCTTTTGGTGTAGTGGTTAAGTGTGCGGACTCTAATCTGGGAGAACCGGGTTTGATTCCCCACTCCTCCGCTTGCACCTGCTGATGTGACCTTGGGTCAGTCACAAGCTCTGGCACAGCTGTCCTTGAAAAAGAGCAGTTTGTGTCAGAGTTCTCTCAGCCCCACCCACCTCACAGGGTGTCTGTTGTGGGGAGGGGGAGGGAAAGGAGTTTGTAAGCCGCTCTGAGACTCCAAGTGAAGGGCGGGGTATAAATCCAGTCTCTTCTCTCTTCTTCTTCTTCTTCTTTTCTAATTGTGGTAAGCGACTGGGAATCTTCATTCTCTCCTGTCAGGTGGGGAGGGCACTTGACACGTGCATGTTGCATGTTAATTTGGTGCTCATTCTCTGGCTATACGTTTGAACCTTTTTTTTTTGCCATTCTACGTATTTGATAGAAGCGTGCCTTGCACACGGAAGCTCATATTTTGAGTAAACCTTTGTTGGTCTTAAAGGTGCCACTGGACTCTAAATTTGTTGTACTGCTTCAGACCAATATGGCCGACCACCTGGACCTAGTTTGATATAACATTTATAGCAAGTGAATATATATTCACTGCCACAGGAGGTGGCGGCGGCTACAAGCATGGACAGCTTCAAGAGAGAATTAGATAAGCATATGGCGCAAAAGTCCATCAGCCACAAGGTCTAGATAGGAACTCTCAGTCCGGGGCAAGTGATGCTCTGTATTCTTGGTGCTTGGGGGGTGGGCAACAGTGGGAGGGCTTCTAATGTCCTGGCCCCACTGGTGGACCTCCTGATGGCACCTGGTATTTTTGGCCACTGTGTGACAGAGTGTTGGACTGGATGGGCCATTGGCCTGATCCGACATTGGATTCTCTTATGTTCTGATGACGTTTACAAGAATTGCTCTGTAACACTTAACGTGAACAGTAGAGGCTTGCGGTGAAGTAACCCAAAGTGATAGAACACTCCAAGGGCACATCAGTACTCATATCACAGTCCGAACATTAACTTGATGAAGAAAACAACCCGCTCACAGAACGAAGGGCGCATCAGCAAATATTGGCTTGGTGGAGAAAACAACTTGCTCTCGGAGAATCCACTGCAGACTGTAGGGCATGCCGCTGGATTAACAGCGCGTTTCGGTGTCTCTTCTTCAAAACCGCAACAAGTTTGAAGAAGAGACGCTGTGGTTTTAAATATGAGACATCGCCTTTAGTTCTGCGAGCAAGATGTTTTCTTCATCGCTAACGTCCGGACTGTGATATGAGCTGATGCACCCTGGGATTGTTCTGTTAATTTGGCTTATTTCCCCGCAAACCTGTATTGTTCGCATTAGTGTTGCAGAGCAGTTGTCGTAAACGTCCTATGGATTAGTTGTCATAAATGTTATATGAAACTAAGATCAGTGTAGAATGTGTATAGTGTTAAATCTACATTGTTGGTTTTAATACATTGCTTGACGGTGAGACGATTAATCTTCTGCTCGGTGACTTCTTTTCTGTTGTCTCCACCCACCTGAAGAATGGCAGCCCTGGTTCAATCCCGGGTCTCTTCAGTTAGAAAAGATCTGGGGTGACTGGGCTGGGAAAGAACCTTGCTTCTGAAGAACAGCTGCCGGCCAGGATAGATAGTCTTGGACTTCAGGTGTTCATATATATGTCTCAGCCATTTGAAGAACAGCTGCCGGCCAGGATAGATAGTCTTGGACTTCAGGTGTTTATATATACGTCTTAGCCATTTGGTGTAGTGGTCAAGAGCGTGGACTGTAATCTGGGAGAACCTGGTTCGATTCACCACTCCTCCACATGCAGCCAGCTGGGTGACCTTGGGTCAGTCACAAGTTCTCTCAGAGCTGTTCTCTCAAGGGCAGTTCTCGAAAGCCCTCTCTCAGCCCCAACGACCTCACAGGGTGTCTGTTGTGGGGAGGGGAAGGGATTGTAAACCGCTGAGAGACACCTTTGGGTAGTGAAGGGCGGGGTATAAATCCAATCTCTTTTTGTTATCCATTCAGTCGTGTCCAACTCTTGGCGATTCCATGGGCCGGCTCTCTCCACGTTTTCCAATCTTGTGCTGTTTCTTTTGAGTCGTTCCATGCAACAGCTAAATTTAAGATTTAGAAGTTATATTAGCATATCTGACTAAGTTCATAAGATTGTTAGCGTTTTAAGGGATGGCATTGTGTACAAGCTAATTTGATGATCTCCTCTCTTGGGTTTTTAGTCAGTAGTGGTTATCTTTTCTTTCTCCTTAAATGTAGTTCCCCTCCCCTATTTTCATTGTAGTTTGTAGTCCTTATATATAAAATGCAATTTAAAAAATCCCCTTCGGGGGGCCAAGAAACCCCCCACAAGTTCTCTCAGAGCTGTTCTCTCACGCGCCGTTCTCCTCTCAGCCCCACCGACCTCACAGGGTGTCTGTTGGGGGGGGGGAAGGGGATTGTAAGCCGCTCTGAGACTCCAAGTGAAGGGCGGCATAGAAATACAGCAAAATAGAAGGGAGAGCCCCCTGGCTTTAACCATTAGACCCTCCTCTTCACCCAGGCCGCCCCTGAAGGTTCTCTTCTGCTTGTTCCCTAGATGTCTGGTCTGCCGGTTGCGTTCTGGCGGAACTGCTGCTAGGGCAGCCGATATTCCCCGGAGACAGCGGAGTGGACCAGCTGGTGGAAATCATCAAGGTAACGAACGTCTCGTCTTGGGCTGTCGCCCTTCAGGAAGCCACACAGGCATCCCGGTGCGCACCAGGCATCTTTGCAAAAAATAATAATAATCATTTGACACGTTCCCGTGCCACGTCTTGAGGCTAAGATAAAATCAAATCAGAAAGCTTCCGACTGCCCCTCAGAGATCAGCCAGTAGCACCCAGAAGCCCGAAAAGCGTGGATTAGCTCAGTGGCTTTCAAAAACCACCTACCTTCAGGGGGCTTCCTCAGTGTGGCACTCGCCCGCCTCAGGAACCCTTGTGCGCTACTGAAAATCCCGGGGAACGCCCTGCGTTGCAAACCCGGTTCCTGTGATGCCGGCCAGGCGTCGCGAGCTTCACCGTTGCTCCGCGTGACCGGCAAATGCTCTCCCAGGAGCGCCCAGCATGCCACGCGAGAGAGAGGCCAGTGATGGTTGCCAGCTATGTGCCAGGGAGGGTTGTTTGCCACAACTGGTCTTATGGCCGAGGACCCCTGGGTGGAGTCACTGAGCCATCTCTGAAGCCCCCGGAACACAGTCCAAGAACCGCAGACCTAACTTATCTTTTCCAGCCCACCCACCTACCCCCAGCAAGACTCCGCCATCTACTTGCATATATATAACCCAATCCAGAATAGGTTTTACCGCATTGAGAATCTCTCTTGAGTAGGACTGCCGGTGCCATGTCAGGTTGCCAGTGAATACATGGGATAGGCTGGAGAGGCCTCCCCCATGCTGTGGGGCATGTGTGGTGCAGTGGGTAGAGCTTCAGGTCAACTGGGTTCAAATCCCCACTCGGTATGAGCCTCTTGCCATGTGACTTTGGCCTGTCGCGTGTGCTTTTGGCCAGAGCTGCCTCACTGTAAGCGGTAAAGACAGTTTGGTGTCGTGGTTAAGAGCGCGGACTCTAATCTGGGAGAACCGGGTTTGATTCCCCGCTTCTCCACATGCAGCTGCTGGTGTGACCTTGGGTCAGTCACAAGTTCTGTCAGAGCTGTTCTCTCAAGGGCAGTCCTCGAAAGAGCTCTCTCAGCCCTACCTACCTCACTGGGTGTCTGTTGTGGGGAGGGGAAGGGAAAGGGATTGTAAGCCGCTCTGAAACTCCTTTGGGTAGTGAAGGGCGGGGTATAAATCCAATCTCCTCCTCCTCTTCTAAAATATTGGGCATGGGGGAGATGTACCCTGCCCTGAGCTTCTTGGAAGAAGACCGGGAAAAACATTTGAGTAAGGCTCACAGATTCTAATCTGGGAGAACTGGGTTTGATTCCCCACTCCTCCACTTGCACCTGGCTGGATGACCCTGGGTCAGTCACAAGTTCGCTCAGAGCTGTTATCTCAAGGGCAGTTCTTGAGAGAGCCCTCTCAGCCCCACCTACCTCACAGGGTGTCTGTGGTGGGGAAAGGAAGGGAAAGGAGTTTGTAAGCCGCTCTGTGACACCCTTCGGGTAGTGAAGGGCCGTGTATAAATCCAATCTCCTCCTCCTCCTCCTCCCTTGCTCCAGGTGCTGGGGACCCCGACACGAGAACAGATCCGCGAGATGAACCCCAACTACACGGAGTTCAAATTCCCCCAGATCAAAGCACACCCCTGGATAAAGGTAAAAACGACGAGGCGGGCAGTATAAGCAGAGAGAGTTAACGGGTACTGCCCTCTGCTGTCCAGAATGGTAGAAGGCTGGAGGATATTTTGGATCCCAGGGCCTCTGGCACTGAATGCTTGTAGAGGTTCTCTGGCGTGGCAGGAGTAGGTCTCCTCAGCTCATTAAGAACCGGTACTTCAGATTCAGCGGCAAGGAAGGTGGAGCCCCGTGATGCCTACCAGCTACACACAGCGTAGGATCTTGCGGTGTACCCTGCAAATGACACACGGGCTCTGGAACGCTATGCTTGACAGCTTCCATTGCGGGGTGGGGGAACGAGCACGAAGGCATTTCCAGTTTGCATTGTACAACCCGCACTGTGCGGGTGTCGGATTTAAAATGTTGGGATTCGTGCAGAGTGCAGGAGGGGAGGGGACTGGGCTCCCAAGAGCAGAGGAGGCCAAGTGGGTGGGGCTTGTGTTCGAGATCTGCCCACGTGGATGGCAGCTCTCATTTTGGTCCAGGTAGTTTGGGGCTGTACAATGTGCCGTGGTGACTTGGTTGTGCCCGGGGAAAAATTCATAGGGAACAGCAGCTTGTTGTACTGACTATCGGAGTCTCCCCACTTAGATTCTTACAAAGGTTCTTACCTTTAAAGCCCTATATGGTCAGGGACCTACATACCTAAGGGGACCACCTTTCCCCACATGTTCCCCAGGGAGCACTAAGATCGGGGTCCCAAAATTGCCTGACCCTACCATGCCCTAAAGAAGCCAGGCTAGCTGTGACGAGGGCCAGGGCCTTCTCAGTGGCAGTCCCGTACTGGTGGAATGAGCTCCCGGATGACGTCAGGGCCCCGTGGGACCTTTTACAGTTCTGCAGGGCCTGTAAGATGGAGCTCTTCCACCAGGCCTTCGATTAGGGAGCCGCCCCTTCCAACACTGAGGCCCTGGCCCCAATACGAACACCAATTTAAATATTGTTATCAATAGCCTGACAAGAACCCAGACTACAGCAGCAGTGGATTACCTTGGATGCCGCCAGGGCTATTTTTGGGCAGGAACGCACAGGAACGGAGTTCCGGCTGGCTCCCAAGTTGGCCACGCCCAGCAGGAACTAATTAGCATAATAGGCCACACCCAACAGCAGGAACTCATTAGGATTGGCTACATTAGGGGTGTGTGGCCTAACATGCAAAGGAGTTCCTGCTACAAAAAAAGCCCTGGGTAAACAGAATAACAAGCAAACAAGGTAAACAGAATAACAAGCAAAAGGTGGGTGTGGCTGGATGACCACACTTCTGGTAACATGGGGGTGCGGCCTAATGTGCTAATGAGCTGTGCCGTCAGGGGTGTGGCCTAATAGGCTAATGAGTTCCTGCTGTTGGGTGTGGCCTATTATGCTAATGAGTTCCTGCTGGGCTTTTTCTACAAAAAGAGCCCTGGATGCCGCTATCATCTATGAGTATACTAGCACTTTATGGTCTGTCTTATTGCCATACCATTGTGCTTTTATTGAATTCTGTGTTTTAGTTGTTTTAGACATATTGTGTGTAAGCCGCCCTGAGCCTGCCTTGGCAGGGAGGGCAGGATACAAATAAATAAATAAAATAAAAAGATGGTGCTTTGCTTGTCCGACTGGGATTTGCTACTTAACGTTTTCAGCAGTGCAGACTAGAAACCCATCTGGATTCCATGTTTTTTTTAGATGGCTTTCGTGCCAACCCCACGATGTTGGCTTTCAGGGAAACTTCCTCTGATATAGCATCCCTTGATTTAAGGGGCCGAGGACATCAGTGTGGGGTTTAAATAGTTTGGGCTTGTGGCCGACTCTGCATCTGTCCTTCTGGCCGCCTCCCCCTGCAGGTATTCAAGCCCCGCACGCCGCTGGAGGCCATCTCGCTGTGCAGCCGGCTGCTGGAATACACGCCCGCCACCCGCCTCTCCCCGCTCGAGGCCTGCGCCAACAGCTTCTTCGACGAGCTGCGCGAGCCCAACACCCGGCTGCCTAATGGACGCGAGCTGCCCCCGCTTTTCAACTTCAGCCCCGTGGGTAAGTGGACTGAGAATGGGGCAAACCTGCACGGAAGCGGACTTTGGAGATCAAGCAAGCGTTTGCTGGGGGGGAGAGCATTTAGTTTTCTAGGACGTTCCACTGCTGACCTAAGAATGGCAGTCCTCAAAAGGGGAAGCTTCAAAGGGAGATTACAGCGTGAGACGGCTGAATGTGGGTTCATTCACAAGTTCAGAGTGAAGGAACCCAACCCCATAGGACTGAATGGGGATGTAGGATTTTTAATCTCTACAGAGGCTGATTTTCTGCCCCCCAAGCATTTGACCCCTGCTCTAATCAAGCTGATTACATTTTACATGGTAACTCTGCATCCTGACTCCTTTCTTTGCAGTACCCCTCCTACCTTCAGGCCAGGATATAAGGACTCGGGGATCTCCCTTCCTACTTGTATTTGGTGACGGGAGCTTGGACTCTGAAAAATGCATACCCTGGAAATGTTATCAATCTCTAAGATGCTACTGGGATTGAATCTCCCCTTGCCAGGGGAGGCCCACGATGCCCCCATAGAGCCAGGAATCCAAATCCGCAGCGCTGGAATTTTAATCTCGGGAATCCTTCTTCCACACCCTGTGCCTTGACTCCCAACTTCCTAATTTTTAATTCTTAAAGCGACATAATGATCGGGATTTTTTTAAAAAAGTAATGCTTCCCCTCTCTAAGGGCCCATTTTCTGCACTCTTCTTTTAATCCATGCTCACCACGGTGTCCTCCAAGCAAATCTGCACTAAAATCAAGTTCAGCCTTCTTTTAAATCCAGGTTCTCCCCCCCCCCCTTCTGCACTAAAATCGAGTTCAACCTTCTTTGTATTCCGGGCATTTCCCCCCCATTCTGCATTACATTACTGACCTTCAGTGGCCAGCCCGGTTTCAGCCTGCTGTTGCCCCGAGGTTATTTGGCCGGTTTCAGCCTGCTGTTGCCCCAGGGTTATTTGGATGCCGTTTTGCCATGGACTTAAATTGCCTTGGACTTAAATTGGCTACAGGCATGGACGGCTTCAAAAGGGAATTAGATAAGCATCTGGAGCAGAGGTCCATCAGTGGCTATTAGCCACAAGGTATAGATAGGGGCTCTGGGGCAAGTGATGCTCTGTCTTCTTGGTGCTTGGGAGGGGTCAACAGTGGGAGGGCTTCTAATGTCCTGGCCCCACTGGTGGACCTCCTGATGGCACCTGGTATTTCTGGCCACTGTGTGATACAGAGTGTTGGACTGGATGGGCCTTTGGCCTGATCCAACATTGGCGTCTCATGTTCTTATGAACTTGTGCAGACTCCTAAGACTGTACCTGGACCGCAAACCATTTTGTCTTTGTGAAATTAAATCGGGGGTGACAATCAAACACACCCCGTTGCCTTTTTTTAAGCTGTAGACTCGTTGGGCTCTACTTGACTCAATACAATTTTTTTTAAGTGCTTTAATACTATGAGGAAGGGGTAAGTCTGCTCTCTCTCTCTCTCTCTCTCTCTCTCTCTCTCTCTCCCCTGAGCAGCTCTGCGAGCTCGAACCCTCTGCTTTAAAATGTGGGGAGATTCACAGTGGCTCAGGAAGCCTGTGAAGATTTCCGGCCCCTACCAACCGCCCCCTTCCGTCTCTCTTCCCTTGCAGAACTATCCATCCAGCCATTGCTCAACCCCAGCCTCATTCCGCCACACGTCCGGTCCCAGGCTGGCTCAGTGGGATCCGTGCCTGGCTCCACGACTGCACAAAGTGAGTGGTTTTCTCCGTGGAAGCGGATTATATGGCGCGTCCCCACTTCGTGGGAGGGGGCCATTCTTGAGGACCTGCTTCCCAATGGATTCTGGGAGCAGAGGGGGAAGGGTTCAGCATTCCCCCTGAACCTGGTTTCTTTTTTTTCCTTTTTTTTTTTTGTAGATGAAGGGAGATTGGGAAGCGACAGGAGCCAGGTGACGCCTGGAGACGGCGCAGGACCCATCGCCAACACGTCCTGAGGGGCTGCCGGGCCAGGGGGGCAGGCCCCTCCACTCTCCCCCACCCCCCCAGGCCACCCACATGGACTTCTCTGAACTGTGAACGGTGGGGGAAAGCGACCGCAGCCCAGGAGACCGCACGGAGCCTGCCTCCCGTTGGCCAAGGGGGAGGCCAGTCAGAGACGAGACGGCCGCTTGGACGGGAGGGGGGACGTTCCCGTCTCCCCGGATCACTTGCCACGACTCCCTCCCACGTGGCCCCACGATGCCTTGGCACGGGGAGAGGGCAGGGGGAACTCCCATGGTTTTAAGGGCTCCCTTTTCGAAAAAAAGCAGTTCAGGCTGGTGCCTCCGGGAAGGGGGTAGAGAGACCCGAGGGCTGCCTGCGATGCTTCCTCTCTTCCCCCCTCCCCCAGTACGTCCCACCCACCCACCATCAGGGCCGGCCTGAGGGGTTTGTGCGCCCTAGGCGAGGCCGCCTCGTGGCGCCCCCCTCGGATGCCAACCTCCCAGTGGGGCCTGGAGACCTCCCAGCTGACCGCCTGGGGGGGTGAGAGAGCCTGTGAGGTAGGTGGGCTCAGAGAGCTCTCCGGAGAGAGCCCACAGGAGGAGGAGGGAAGAGGGAGGAGGGGCGGCAGGCTCCCCCCCTCCCCACCCGTCTGGCTCACACATTTTCATCCTAGCTCGGGAAGGAGGGCTCCGGAGCAAACAAATTGATGCAGGAGCCACATCGCTCGCTCACCACTTTAAGGCCAGGAGCTCACAAAGTAGGATTTCTGCTCGCAAGACTCCTCAGCTTCGAGGGAGCGTCGTTGGGGGGGGGGTGCGTGCCTCGAAGACCGGGGAAACACGCGAGGCTCTGCGGGCTGGAGCGGCCACAGCAGCGGGAGGGGGCAGCAGGCTCCGCAGGCACTGCTCTTCCTCACTCCCTTTCGGGACGTCTAGCCGCAGTCGCTCTGCCCCAGCCGGGCTGGGCCAGGAGACAAACCTGCGGCCTTGCCCACCCGGAGGAGCGCGGCGGCCCCGAAGGGAGCAGTAAGCCCTGCTGTGCGGCCGGCAGCCTGAAGAGGAGCTCCTGAAAGGCACACAGAGAAGGCTAGTTTTAAGTTCCCGCCCACCCCCTTCCCAGCTGTAAATACGTCTCCCCTTTCCGCCCCGTCCCTCTCCTTCCAAATGGTTTCTTTTTACCGTTCTCCCTGTAAATAGATTATAATTTTTTTTCTTAACGCAACATTGCAATGATCGCCCCCCCGACCCTATTCTCCCACCCTCCACCTTCAAATCGCTGTAGGATTGAAGGTTCCCCCCCGCCCTGCGGAGCCAGGGTGCAGCCTGTGGATAACCCCCACCCCTCCACACACACCAATCATCACTGCCTTCCTTTCCCTCCTGACATAGTGTGTTAGTTTCTTTCTTAGGTTTTTTGGCTGTGTACAGACATCCGGTTCAATAAATTATTGGCATGAACGGAAAGGACAGCACGGGATTCCTTATTCTTGCATGGCATGTCCAGGGGAGGGGGGATTGGGGCCCAGAAATACGGGCGAGTTAGGATTAACTGCTGCACGCAATGCAAAATACAGTGAAGTCGGACATTTTTAGCGGTGGGGGGGGGAGAGGGCTGCTGCTAGTTAAGGAGTAGATGCCCCCAAGCTTTAAGATAAGTCTCCCCAGATCTCGGAAATGGCGGGAGCTGTTCCTTCCCGTGCACACGTCAAGCTGCCTTAGAATCATAGCGTTGGAGGGGACCTCCAGGGTCATCTAGTCCAACCCCCCGCACAATGCAGGAAATTCACAAACACCTCCCCCCCCACACACCCCCAGTGACCTCCTGCTCCACACCCAGATGACAAAAAACCCTCCAGGATCTCCAGCCAAATTGGCCTGCAGAAAAATTGCTTCCTGACCCCAAAGTGGTGATCGGCATTTCCCTGGGCGTGTAAAAAAGGGCCATGAGAACTGAGCTGCGACGCAACCCTCCCTGCCCTCCCTCTTGTGATCTGCCTAAGTTCAACAGCATTGCTGTTAGATGGCCACCTATGCCTCTGTTTGAAAACCTCCAAAGAAGGAGAGCCCACCACCTCCCGAGGAAGCCTGTTCCACTGAGCAACCACTCTAACTGTCAGGAAGTTCTTCCCAATGTTTAGCTGAAAACTCTTCTGATTGAATTTCAGCCCGTTGGTTCTGGGTTCCGTCCACTGAGTGAGACGGTCTCTCAAGGTCAGTATCGTCCACTCAGACCGGCAGCAGCTCTGCAGGTTCTCAGAGAGAGAAACGCTCACATCACTTACCCCCAGATATTTTAAAATGGGGATAACGGGGATTGAACGTGGGACCTTCCCCGTGCAAAACAGAGGCTCTTCGCTGAGCCGCGGCCCCTCAGTCTTTAGAGTTGCTTCATTCGCTGCCTTTCTTACCATTCTGACATCGCTGGGCAAAGTTAAGGCTGCCGTTTTTAAAACTTGAGCAGGGCCCGAGTCTTTGAACGCTGCAGGGCACTGACTAGCTCGGGCTGCTATCGGAAGCAACTAAGGTGAAGCACACTTTGGTGACTATTTTTCAGCAAAGGGCTGCTTCAGACCTTAAGGGTTTCCTCCGTCAAAGAACAATGCCACGCAGAGAACTGGTATGCAAACTGTGCGAGGAGGGTCAGAGGAGAGTTTCTCATGTTGATCGCAGGTGCGTGCTGGAAGTAGTAATTAACCGCGGCTTCGTAACCCAGGCAGGGCATTTGTGCGCACCGGTAGGCACATTCGATCACTGTAGGCTGCTTTTCATGCCTCCAGTGCATTACAGCTACTCTGCTGATCTGCATAAGGAATGTCTGGGTACCCTTAGAATCTAAGAAACTAAAATCTCCTCGAGACCTCACGTCCAATGTTCCCTCTAAGCTGTGGGGTCTTGTGAGCAAAAATTCTACTTTGTGAGCTACTGGCATTAAAGTTGTGAGCGAGCGATTTGGCTACTGCACAAATTAGTTTGCTCTGGAGCCATCTTTTCCTGAGCTAAGACAAAAATGTGTGAGCCGAAGGCTAAGAAACTGTGAGCTAGCTCACACTAACTCAGCTTAGAGGGAACACTGCTCATGTCCCCTGAGTTTGTTAGCCTAAATTTCGCTCCCAGTATCCTCCCTGGTCGCAAACTGAACACAGGAGCAACCAAGAGTCAGACGCAATCTGCTTTGTGCAGTTAAATTTGGGAAATGATTGCTTTTTATTAAATTAACCGGAGATCTCCCTATTTAAATTGTTTACTACTCCCGAGGGAAGGGAGTGTATGAACTCAAGGGCTTCCTACCAACATCTTCTGTGGGGCTGGGGGGGATTATGAGGACAGCAATTATTACATGATAGCCTTGTTTAATCTTTTCATCCCATGGTGTCCAGCCATGCCACCTGCTGTTCTCAAGGGAGAAGACTGCCAGCAGTAACAAGGTTTCCCCGTGGTGTAATCACTACAAGCACAGTTATAAGCTGATGTGACCAAAGTTGTTGATTTGCTAGGGTGTCACCCCATAGTTAAGCTGTTCCAATGTGCCACTTTTATGCACTTTGTTAGAAATGTGACACTCTTATGTAGCGGGTGTTGCAGTGTTACGACGTCAACGTTTTAGAAATGCAGAGGAGCAAACTATAAATGGAACTAAATGTTCAGTGGTCAGGATAGACAGAAAAGGCTTGTGCTGTCGGTTGGGGTCAGCTGTCTAGGTTATAGCCAGAACAGCCCCTTGAATGTGGATCTGAAGAAAATTAAGAAGGGGAAACGAACTCAACCCGAAATAGACTGAAAATGCTACAAGGGTCAAGCTACAGCAGATAAAATATCAAAATAAATATTATATGGTGTACATAATAGTCAATATCAGGCTGTGTTGAGTCAGAACAAGCTTAACATGAGCTGTAACAATTTCCCAGACAAAGTTGATGAACGTGTCAAATGAGCAACACAAAACCGTACGCGTTTCGGCCTCAAGGGCCTCCCTCAGTGGTCACGAATGCATGTTTTTTTAAGAAACACATCCAGAGAACAGTAATATACATCAATCCTGACCAGGTGTTGTTGTTGGGAAATACAAAAGGAAATAGGGGGGGAAAGCCAAATTGTTATAATAGAAATAAGCATTATTAATGCTGCAATGAAATTTTTTGGGGAAAATTCTGCAGAAACCTGGTATAAAGACTGGACTTCCTGTGTTTGAATGTGAGTGGTTTCTGCGGTTAAGTGCCTGCTGCTATCCGATGCGTAGTGCTGATCCTTTAGCATTTTCCCCCGTTTGGTGTTGTGGTTAGGAGCAGCGGACTCTAATCTGGGAGAACCAGGATTGATTCCCCACTCGTCCACATGCAGCCAGCTGGGTGACCTTGGGTCAGTCACGAGTTCTCTCAGAGCTCTCTCAGCCCCACTTACCTCACAGGGTGTCTGTTGTGGGGAGGGGAAGGGAAAGGAGATTGTGAGCCGCTCTGAGACTCTGAGTAAAGGGCAGGGTGTAAATCCAATCACTCTTTTCTTCTCTCTCCCCTTCCTCCCATCTCTCCTTCCTTGGGGAGCAGAATTAAATACTACATGGGAGATATTGCATCATCCTTGCATTCCATCATATAGCCGACCTTGAGGACAAATGTGACATTTGATTTCAATTGCTGGTCGATGACACACACACCCAGAAACACTGGAAACTATACCAGGTTTGTTTGCAGGTTAAATGTTCTCAGGTTTAAATGGTCATTTGCATATTTATGAAACTTAGCTCCTATATGATTTTTTACTTTATAGGTTATAACATCAATGGCAATTTATGTGACAGAGCAGTTACCATGCTAAGGGGCCCATGGTCTGCTTTATAAGCCTTCGTTCTCTCAGAGCTGTTCTCTCAGAAGCAGTTCTCGAAAGAGCTCTCTCAGCCCCACCCACCTCACAGGGTGTCTGTTGTGTGGAGGGGAAGGGAAAGGAGTTTATAAGCCACTTGGAGACTGAGTGAAGGGTGGGGGATAAATCCAATCTCTCTTACATAGTACCACACAATATATGAGGTAGGAATGGTTTTGGGTTTTTTTTGCAGAATTTTACAAAAAAAATTCAATACAGCATTAATAATGCGTTTCCATTATAACAATTTGGCTCCCCCCCCCTTTGTATTTCCCGATAACAACACCCGGTCAGGATTGATGTATATTATTATGCTTTTTTAAAGTATGTGTTATTGACCACTGAGGAAGGCCCTTGAAGCCGAAATGCGTATGGTTTTGTGTTGGCCATTTGACGGGTTCATCAACTTTTCCCTGGGAAATTATTACAGCTTAAGTAAAGCTCGTTCTGTCTCTCAACGCAGCCTGGACTATTCAGGCCCAATATTTTTAATTTACTATCGTGTACACCATATAATAAATGTTTATTTGGGTATTATTTTATCTGCTGTAGCTTGATTTTTGTGGATCTGAAAACCCAGCGTGGTGTAGTGGTTAAAGTGCGGGACTACAATCTGGGACGCCCAAGCTCGAATTCCCTCATGCCACAGAAGCTCAGCTGGGTGACCTTGGGCCCAGTCATACCCACTCAGCCTAGCCAACCTCACAGGGTTGTTATGAGGATGAAACGGAGGAGAGGAGAACAATGTAAGCTGTTCTGGGCCCCCATTGGGGAGAAAGACGGTATAAGAAGAAGATATTTGATTTATACCCCACCCTTCACTCAGAGTGGTTTACAATCTCCTTTCCCTTCCCCTCCCCACAACAGACACCCTGTGAGGCAGGTGGGCCTGAGAGAGCTCTGAGAGAAACTGCTCATGAGAGAACAACTCTGACAGAACGGTGGCTTGCCCAAGGTCATCCAGCAGCTGCAAGCGGAGTGGGGAATCAAACCTGGTGCTCCCAGATTAGAGTCCACGCACTTAACCACTACATGAAACACCAAAGTAATGTTTTGCCTCCTTAGTCAGTAGGGGTACTGGACCTCCAAATCAGAAGCTCTACTACAGAGCTCAGTGCTGTCTGCTGGAATGCAGCTGTCATGAGGTAACTGTGACGGTCCATGTTTTGATGGTTCTGTGTAAAAATGCCCATTTAATAGTTTCCCCTCCCTAATGATCAGGGTTGTCTTACTGTTGCCTAATAAATTCTCTGGGTAGCTTGGAAATTGGGTGTCTTGGATCACACGTGTCCCAAACTTCAGAGTTCGGTCTTATTACAAGTTTGATCTGCTTTTTTCATAATCCCACCAAGACTTAAACTTGTGTCAGCTTTTCTAACAACAACAACAACAAAAGTATTTGACTGCCTACCCAGGTCTCTTTTGGGGTAAAGCTGGATTTCCCTGGATTATGTGAATAATTGGGACAGAACTTGAAGTGGGAAAGGCCTCCTCACAGCAGGGCCAATTCCCACCTTTTATTCCAATGAATCTGTACACACGCCTAAAAAACTAGCAGACATGTGCCTGTGCAGCTACCTTTTTAGTTACCCCCTTGGGTTTCACAAAGGGTGACCAAACTCTGTGCCTCGTTTAGATGTCCAAGGCTAGTTTTTTAGTGTAAAGCTTGATATTGTTTACTGTATTCCCCACCACCACCTAACGGAAAGATTAATCTTGCTAAGTAAGCTGTTTCAATCCCGCAAATCTCAAATAGGCTTCTAGCTCTCACGACGGCAGGATAAATCATAAAAGTGATTACGCAGGCTCCATCTTTTCTCCGGTGCCAATGTTCTATCCCCTTCCTGTGCCCGGTTCAGTACCTTATGACTAAGGGTTCCTGTTTGGCAGTAAGCCAGTGACTGCGTTTTTCTACCATGAATACATAAGCTGGGGAACACTGGCCAATCATGGGTCCCTGACAGGACTATTATCCCTATCCTACGGGGAACTGAAGAGGTGCGTGTCACAAAGATTATTTTTAGGTGTGCGCCTGAAAAGAACCATTACGGAGTCCCAGGAAGTGTGTGGGTTGCAGTGGAGGAGCAATTACTGACGGGATGACAGACAGGTACCTAGGAGGGACGGGAACTCAATAAGGAGGGGACGGTTCAGACGGGGGTGGAGGGGAATCCAGCCTGGTTGGAACTGTGGTAGATGTGCCAGTGGGGGAAAACCTCTATGTTAGGTGGGGGGGGTGTATGCCATATAATTACATAAGCATTGATTAAAACTTGCTTTGCAATTTTATCAGCTGCCCAGAAAACCACATCTTACAATTTAGACATGCGGCAGTCGGGCCCCTAACCAGCTGACTTTACCTTTCCCAACAGCTACACGCTCACTTTATCGTAGCCAAGGCATTTACTGTGGAGTAACTCAGAATTACGGCAACTGGGCCAGATTCCGGTTTGGTGTACCGTGGGCAAGCCGTAGTTCTGATAAGAGCTGTTCTTGAAAAAGAGTAGTTTCTGTCAGAGCTCTCTCAGCCCCACCTACCTCACAGGATGTCTGTTGTGGGGAGGGGAAGGGAAAGGAGTCTGTAAGCCGCTCTGAGACTCCTTTGGGGAGTGAAGGGTGGGGTATGAATCCAATCTCTTCTTCTCTCTTCTTCTTAAAAGAACAGATTCCCTCCCTAAACGTCATGCCTGGGGGCTGCCAATAAAAAGGAGTGATTTTTCACATGAAGGGTCATGGCAACTGGACTGTGTAGTCACCACAGATGGTCTGCCACAACCGGGAACCTTTTTTCATACTGCCCTGGTGTAAAAAACTGGGACATCTGTTGCAAGGGCTTTCGAAGACCCAGTAGTAGATCCATCATACCCGAGCCCCCAAGTCCAAACAGTCTTGTGATTGACCATTCGGTAAGGGACCTAATATACCTGTAAGTTTCCTCAGTGGGTTTCAGGGTCACAGAAATAAGAACTTTCCTAGATTATTTTATCTTTCCCTTGCCACTTGGAAACGAAAAAAAATAAAAAATGGTGTCATCAAAGAAGATGTGGCCGTATCTGTTGCCTCATAATTAATTTTTTAAAACTTTTTTTAGACCCGCTCCCTGGCTGGGATTGCATTTTACTACAAACTTCGGCTTTTCTCAGTGGCACAGAAGGGGCAGTTGTTATCAAAGGCTGTCCTGACAAGGGAAGACAGGCAACGCTTGTTAAATGCGGCAGACCATCTGTGGGGACTACACAGTTGAAAGCCAGTTTGGTGTCGTGGTTAAGTGCACGGACTCTAATCTGGGAGAACCGGGTTTGATTCCCCACTCCTCCACTGGCACCTGCTGGTGTGACTTTGGGTCAGTCACAAGCTCTGGCACAGCTGTCCTTGATAAAGAGCAGTTTGTGTCAGAGCTCTCTCAGCCCCACCCACCTCACAGGGTGTCTGTTGTGGGGAGGGGAAGGGAAAGGAGTTTGTTAGCCGCTCTGAGACTCCAAGTGAAGGGCGGGGTATAAATTCAATCTCTTCTCAAATTCTCAGATACCTTTCTCTCAAGATTAGGCATTACGCTCTGGGTGTAAGAACTTTCTGGCACGAAAGTTCCTGGCACGAGAGACGTCCGGTTGTCCTCGGCTAGGCACAGGGCTTTTTCGGCCCCGGCGCCTACCTGGTGGAACTCTCTGCCTGAGAGCATCTATGTCTTGCGGGATTTACTATCTTTCCGCAGGGCGTGCAAGGCAGGGATGTTCCGCCAGGCATTTGGTTGAGGACGACAGGATGTATAAAATCTGGCAATCTCGCACACACACACCCCTCTGCAGCCCCCCCCCCCCGCAAGGCGGTTTGTGGGATTTAAAATCTCTTCCGCCATCTTGGGATGTGTATTGTTTTTAACCTCCTGACGTATTATAGGCATTTTAAAGTTGGTTTTAACTGTATTGTTTATTGTGTCTGTTTTTTCTTGTAAGCCGCCCTGAGCCCTGCTTGTAGGGAAGGGCGGCCTGGCAAATCTAATTTAATAAATAAATAAATAACCCTATTCTGCCATTAAAAAAAGAAAAGAAAGAACCTGGGTTTTATTTCTCCACGGCTAAGTGGAAATAATACCACCCATTAGCTCAGGAACCCAAGGCCCAGCAGAGTGCAGTTCGAGGGGAAAGATGTCAGTCAGCACGCCCGATGTTAGAAAAATGATTTTATAGCTCCACCGAGGCCAAGATGAAATGGGAGGAACTCCTGAACTGAATATAACCAAACTTTTTAAATTTACAATAAATTGTGCGGTTGAGACAGTACCAAACTTCACAGTCCATTCTATGGCACCCCAACCTTGCACACACAAAAAAAGGCAATGTCCCAAGAAAACCTCCATACGAGGCATGTAAGTGGGGGTGGGGCTTGGCCCAGACACAAACTGAACAGGTTCCATTTGGGCACCGTGCGATCAGTGCGCAAGTGCTGGGAGACTCAAGCCTGACCGATGATGGAATTACGGAAACTGCCCTCCGCTTCCCGCTGCCATGCATCGGGTTCTTGTGCAAGGAAGAGCTGAATGACGCTTGGCCCCTATACAAACGCGTTAACCTGGACGTTGCCTTCCAGCGTAGTCTCGTAAATCTCTATCGTCCCCCCCAAGGGGAGTGGATCGGTGCTCTCTAAGATCGCAATGGTCTCCCCAAATTCAGTGCACATGATCGCGTAGGTCGGCTGGGCGGTCGCCGCAAAGGACCCTGCGGACTGGAGCACGCCCTGGTTGACCACCAGCTGCGTGTGGGTCTTGCGGTGGCTGCGCAGGTTGGACAGCGTCTTAAAGGTCTTGGGGCACACAGGGCAGGGGTGGGGGCGCTCGCCAGTGTGGATGCGCCGATGCTCAGCCAGGTGCATGGACTGCACGAAGGCCTTGCCGCAGTCCGGGCAGAGGTAGGGGCGCTCCCCCGTGTGCAGCCGCCGGTGCTCCTGCAGGTGGGTGGCCTGCCGGAAAGCCTTGCCGCAGTCCGGGCAAGGGAAAGGGCGCTCGCCCGTGTGGATGCGCTGGTGCAGCTGCAGCCCAGAGGCCGCGACAAAGCTCTTGGCACAGACGGGGCACTTGTGAGGCCGCAGGCCGGTGTGGCGCTGTTGGTGGCGGCTCAGCCCGCTGGCGGTGGTGAAGGCCTTCCCGCAGATCGGGCAGAGGTGAGGGCGCTGGCCCGAATGGACCAGCTGGTGCATGGCCAGCTTTGCCAGGGACCCCAAGTACTTGCCGCACGACAGGCAGGGGTAAGACTGGGCCGTTGCATGCTCCTGGCGCCGGCCGCAGCGGTGCTCCTGCAATTTGGAAGTCAGCACAAAGAGGACGCCGCAGTCCGGGCAGCGCTGGGGCTCCTGCCCGGAATGGCTAAGCCGGTGCAGTTCCAGGAGGTGGCGGCGTGGGAAGCACTTATCACAGTCCGGACAGGAGAAGGCCAGGCACCCCGCATGCGTAGTCCGGTGCAGGGCTGACTGGGGCCCCTCCCCATTGGCTGCGTGCAAGAGGCGGTGCTGGCGGAGGTTGGAGGACTGGGTGAAGCGCTTGTCGCAGACCTGGCACTGGTAGGGGCGCTCCCCGGTGTGCGTCACGTGATGCCGGGCCAGGTTGGCCTGGGAGACGAAGGTCTTGCCGCACTCCGAGCACTGGAAAGGCCTCTCCCCGGTGTGCGTCCGCAGGTGGTTCCGCACGTGCACCAGCTTCTTGAATTTTTTGCCGCAGGTGGGGCACTTGTGCTTGCGCTCCAGGACGTGCACCACCCGCTTGTGCCGCACCATCCGGATGTGGGTGGAAAAGGCCTTTCCGCACTGAGGGCACAGGAAACCAGTGCTGGGCGCCTCAGTGGCTGTCCCTGTGCTGGGAGGGGAGGAGGAAGAGGAGGAGGAAGAGCCATTCACGCCAGACTTTCCGACAGCCGGAGCCTCAGGAGGTTGGTTGGGTGCCTGTTCTCCTGCCCCGCGAGCAGGCGGGACCCCACTCTTACCAGCATGGGTGCGACGGTGGTAGAGAAACTTTGTCATGTTACTGAAGGTTTTACCGCAGTGGCAGCGGTGCAGGGGGTTGGCGGTGTGGCTCTTCCGGTGCACAATCAAGGTCATCTCGGTGGAGAAGCCGAGCCCGCAGTCCACGCAGAGGTAGAGTGCCTCCCCTTTGTGGACGCGCATGTGCTGCTCCAGGGACGTCGCCTTCTTGAAGATCTTGTTGCAGTTGGGGCATTCGTAGGTGCCGTCCACGTGGACCCGCTGGTGCGCCAGCAGCCGCTTCGCCGTGGTGAAGCCGCGTTGGCACTCGCCGCACAGGAACTCCTCGCCGCCGCCAAGGTGCTCCTGCTGGTGCCGCCGCAGCGCCTCCGCCGTACTGAAGGCCTGCTGGCATTCGCCGCAGCGGAAGGCCGGAGCGGGGGGAGCGGCGTCCGGAGGCTCCTCGGGGCCTGGCGCCGGGGCCGTGTGCGGACCGCTGGTCTCCTGGGCCGCAGCCTCGGGCACCTCCCCGCTTTCTTTCTCGATCTCTGTGAAATGCTCGCCTTGGTGCTCCAGCAGTTCCTCCGGTGTCAGGAAGAGGCGGGCGCACTCCGAGCACTCGTAGGGATGAATGGGCAGAGCGGGTTGGGAGGGAGGTGGGGACTCCGGCTGGGGGAGCTGGGGAGCTGGTAAGTGGGCCAGCGGGGAAGGAGCCGTCTGGCAGGATGACGGAGCTGACGGCCGGGGCTCCCCTGCGGCCTCCTGCTTCTGGTGTGTTTGCCGGTGCACCAGCCACAGGCTCGTGGAGGGAAACAGTTTGTTACACTCGTTGCACTGGTAGCGGATCTGTCCCACGGAAGCCGACGGGGGTGGGGGCTGGCTCGGCACCTCCCGGGGGTGGACCTCCTGGTGGGCCAGCAGTTCGTCCGGTGAGAAGAGGACACACCCACACTCCAGGCACTGGTAACGGCTGCCCTGCTGGGACCCGGCATCCACCACAGTGGCGGCGGCTGGGGCCTCGTGGGGCTCCGTTAGGTGCCCTTCCTGGTGGATCAGCACCTCTTCCAAAGTGTCGTAGAGACACCCACACTCTGAGCACATGTACTGTTGCTGGAAGAACAGAGAAGCCAGGTCTTCTTCCATAATGCCTGCAAGTGGGGGAGAGAAAGAGAGAGATGTGACCAAGGAAGCTGAAAGGAAGCGTGGAAAGGTTTTATTTCTTTTATCCGATTCATTTGTACCCTGTCCTTCTTCCCAGTGGGAACCCAAAGCGGCTTAACAGCATTCTCCTCTTCTCCGTTTTATCCTGGCAGCAACCCTGCGAGGTAGCTTAGGCTAAGAGTGTGTGACTGGCCCAAGGTCACCCAGCGAGCTTCCACAGCATGAGGGAGGATTGGAATCTGGGTCTTTCAGATACTAGTCCGACAATTTTTTTTTTTTTGGTGAGTAGTGTGTGTTTGTGTGTGTGCCTGAAAGTCATGGTCGGCTTCTGGTGATCCCCAGTGGGGCTTGGACGTTTCAGAGAGGTGGCTTGCTACTGCCTGCCTCTGCGTCCCGACCCTGGTTTTCCTTGGAGGTCTCCCATCCAAGTACTTGCCAGGGCCGGCCCTGCTTAACTCTTGACCAGACACACGCTGGCTCCGAAGGGTACTCCAATAATGCTAAACTACTTTAATGCCTCCTCTCTTGCTGGGAAAAAAAAAACAAGAGGGTAGGAAAACCTTGATTTTTGAAAGGTATGGCAAAGAGAAAACAACTGCAGTGTACCTTCTAATCCCCCCCCCCCTGAGAGGAGCAGTTCACATTCCAAGCAGAGTAGAACTGCTGTAATTTTAAAATGGGCAATGGGCAGTGCAAGACCCTCTGCGGCTCCCGACTGCTGCTGAGCGGGGCTTCCTGTGTTAATGAGCGGCCTCTCACGCACGCAGCTTAGGGGGGAACACTGCTGTCGGGTTTAGGACAAGAGCTATTCCACTTTTAATAAATACAATTAGCATGTGATAATAAGGCAGGGAGCATAAAACAGAAGTCCAGCGGCACCTTAAAGACTAACAAAATTTATTCCAGCACTAGATCCAGAACAGGTGTGGCCAAACTGTAGTTCGGGAGCCGCATGTGGCTTTTTCAGATGTGCGCCCTCCCGGCAGGGTGGCTAAGAAAGCTAAATATCATTAGCAAACAAATATCATTGGACAAATATCATTATCAATATCTGTTTTTACCGCTTTTGTTATTTTTGGCAGTCTCATTTAATGTTAATAACAAGCAAATCTGCATATGTCCCAGTAAAAACGTGTACTATTTTTTCATGTCTTGCGGCTCTCAAACGTCTGACGTTTATTCTATGTGGGCTCTTACATTAAGCAAGTTTGGCCACCCCTGGTCTAGAAAGTCAGAGTTCACTTCTCTTCTTCAGAGACAGAAGAAGAAGAGAAGAGAGAAGAGATTGGATTTATACCCCGCCCTTCACTTGGAGTCTCAGAGCGGCTTACAAACTCCTTTCCTTTCCCCTCCCCACAACAGACACCCTGTGAGGTGGGTGGGGCTGAGAGAACTCTGACACAAACTGCTCTTCTTCAAGGACAGCTGTGCCAGAGTTTGTGACTGACCCAAGGTCACATCAGCAGCTGCATGTGGAGGAGCGGGGAATCAAACCCGGTTCTCCCAGATTAGAGTCCGCAACACTTAACCACTACACCAAACTGGCTTGTCAGTTAGATAGATGTATTCATATGCAGAGAAGGGATGTCAGGGCTGCCTAACACAATATCCATTCAAATTAGCAATCAATTCACAAAGAATAGATGAGGACGCTGAATTGCTCACGGATAGACAAAGTAGGGTTAACAAAATAAAGGTAATGCAAGGAGAAACAAGTTCTGTTAAGCTGACTGGTGTAAGATATTAGCACCTATAGTGAAGAAAACACATCAAATCCTTGTTTACAGCTAGTGGAAAACTAACAAAACCGCAGATGGAGAGGGATTTTCTATTACCAAAGAGTAGGATCTTCACTTTAGAAAAAAAAGATGGCAGGAGGCATGGCAGGGGGCTTATAAAATGATGGACAGGGTGGAGGGAGAGAGGTTTTCCTCTCTGCCATATGAGGGGCGCTAGGTTCAGGTGTTTGGATGGGAGACCGTCAAGGAAGCCCAGGGTTGCTCTGCAGAGGCAGGCAATAGCAAACCACCTCTGAATGTCTCTTGCCCTGAAAACCCTACCATCAGTCAGATGCGACTTGACAGAAAATTTCACACACACCATTCAGGGCAGCCCAAAGGAAGTACTTCTTCACTCAGTGAGTAATTCAACGTTGGGATTCGTTACTAGGGGGGGGGGTTATGGGGTGTGGTGGGCAGGGTTGCCAACCTCCAGGTGGGGCCTGGATATCTCCTGCTTTTACAACAGCTCTCCAGACTAGAGAGATCAGTTTCCCCTGGAGAAAATGGCTGCTTCGGAGGGCGGACCCCACGGCATTGTACCCTGCTCACAGGTCCCTCCCCTCCTCAAATCCAGCCTTCTCCAGTCTCCATCCCTAAATCTCCAGGTATTCAACCAAACCCTGAGCTGGCAACTCTTGTGGTGGCCGCAAAAAGAAGAAAGAAACTGTGAGGTAACTGCGCTAGATAATATTTCAATAATAATCACAAAATTGTACAAAAATGTGTGCAGGAAATTATATAAATATACAAGACAATAGAAAATGATGTGTTGACGATGGTCTCCGGAATGCTCTATCGCTTCGATACTATTCTTCTTCCGAGAGTGAATGAAAACAGCGACTCTTGGTCTGTCTTTTCAACTAGTAGGTATCAAAAATCCATAATATTCACCGATGTATCCTGACTTAATTGCAAGAATTTCTCTGACAGAATGTTCCTGGGGGCAAGGTGCTTGTATACTGCCTTGCCCCAGGAACATTCTGTCAGAGAAACGTATATAATTTTCTGCACACATTTTTGTACGATTTTGTGATTATTACTGAAATATTATCTAGCGCAGTTAACTCAGTTTCTTTCTTCTTTTTGCGGTCTGTTCTGTGACTGTGACCATCATTTTTGAGCCAAACTCTTGTGGTGGGCCATTCAACCCAGTGACTTAGACTCGGGGAAGAGAGGCCCCTCAGCGACTAAAGGAAACCTCCACAGCCAGCAGCAGTCAACCTCAGAGTGACAAGCCATGGCATGTGGGGCAGAGCCGCCAGCTGGGAAATTCCTAGAGATTTGGGGAGTGGAGGCTGGGGAGGGCGGAGCTTGGGGAGGGACTTCAGCAGGGCATAACGCCATAGAGACCCACTTCCAAGACATCCATTTTCTCCAGGCGGACTGATCTGTGCCGCCTGGAGATCAGCTGTAATTCCGGGGTGTCTCCCGGTCCCGCCTGGAGGCTGGCAACGCTACACAGGGAGGGCCTCGTCCTCCAAGAGCTGTTTGCGACCAGTGTGTGAAAGCACGTGCCGGCCTCGATGCGTCTGATTCAGCAATATATAATAACCTCTATTGAACGGAGGCGTCCCAGCCTTAGGGGGGGGGGTCTCCCCACCCCCAAGTGGCTATTAGTTCTCCCCTTGGCTTTAAGGCGATTCCTCTGAAGGGGGCAGCGGGGGGGACTGGGGCTCTTTGACCCTCCCCACCTACCCAGGCCGCCGCTTCGGTGGGGGGGACGAAGGGGGGCAACTCACCCGGCCCGCGGGCCCAGCCCCACCGCTGCCGCCCGCTTTCGCCCCGGCGGTTGTCTTCTCCTCTCTCTCTCCCCCAAGGCCCGGCTTGGCCTAGGCGGCACCGCGCCCGCTCAACGCCTCACACCCCCCCCACCCCGAGGGGGAGCCAATCAGCGGCTTCGATACTAAGGGGGCGGTTCGGCTCGAGGGGCTTGGTGACGCAACGGCCGCCCGGACCTCAAACGGGAGGGGAAGGGGGGAGTCCGGGCACTCTCAGGACGGCTGTTGGGAAGGGGGCTTTTCTTTTTTTGAGGGGGGTGGGTGGGTGTTTGTTTAGACACGCCCAGTCACGAGGGGCGGCGAGCGGCGATTCCTCCCCCCCCTCCCCGTACGCCGATTACGTAACACCGAGCACTCCTGCGGACGTTCCCCTCCCCGCTTACGCAACGAGCGCCGTCGCCTTGACAGTGCGCGTGCCGTCTACGTAAACACCTCAGGGCTTTGCGTCGGGCGTTGTCGGAGCATGCGTAAAGGGACGTCCGCTTCGTATACCCCCAGCGTTAGTAACGCAGTTGGCCTCCATTGCCGCAAACGGGACGGCTCGCGCCTTCCGACGCTCCGGCTCCTCCTTTGGCGCTCCCCATCGTCAGAGTCTCACCGTTCCCTAAGTGAGGAGACCGGCGTTCCCCGCCCATCCCCCCCAAAAGAGGCCGCGAGCCGGTTTTCCACCTGAGCCGCGAGCGCAACGCACGCGCAATCGACGGTTATTCCCCCCCCCCTTCCCTCACAGCCGGCCGACGCCTGCGCGGTAGGCCTTCGAAGGAGGCAGAGGCGAGGCGAGCAGGTAGGCTGGGAGGGGAACGGGGGAAAACAACACCCGGCCTACGCGCTTGGGCGCATGCGCAATGAGGTAATCGAGGCGGAGTTACCTCGACGCAGACGCATCGAAGCTACCAGAAAGACATAAACGACGGTGTCGACAGCTGTGGCGGTTGGAAGCCGCGGTGAGTGGGGGGGTCGGGAAAGGGAGGAAATGAGCGAAGAATAATAATAAAAATGTAACAGACGAGACGGGTAAAGGAAAGCGAAGCGTATATTTTATACTGTTGGCGA